TAGTGTAGAGGACGATGAGGAGGTCTTGAGGGAAGAGATAGAACTCGAGATGGAAGAGGTAACGGAGAACATGTCAAGAGTACACGTCGAAGACGACGTGTCCAGTGAAGAGGAAGACCAGGACGGTAGGCAAGAGTCGTGCATGACATCTATACGATTTCAGAGGCCGAGGTTCGCTCTCGTCTCGAGGATGTCCGCTCCTATTTGTACGCGAACGGAAGAGACGGCGAGTACAGCGAAACGGTGTACCTTCTTTCGAAGACTGTGCATTCGTTCACTCATGAAACTCAAGTCAAGCGAAGAATGAAGGAGGGGGGTGAGGTGCAGGCGACTCTTCGGGATGTATGTGTGGGCGACGTAGTTTTTGGTGTTTGAGGACAACACACTTGGCAGTCCACATTCATTGTTTGGGATTTTTTTTGCCTTTCTCGTGGAGTTAAATTTTGACATTTTATGTTTTGTGTTTTTGCCTCGTGTTGTTGACCTTTGGGGAAGAGCGGTGTTCTCTTTTCGGTGGGTTTGCCCGAATGTGGCAGGTAACTTGCGTGTATCGTATCAGAGCTAGTTCCAACAAACTGATGTGTCTCAGGTGTGTTCGCGATATCACGGGCATGATGTTCACCGTGAGGACAACGCCTTGACAATAAGAAAAGCCTACAACAACACCAGCGCACACTGCCGTACACATTACAATAGGTCGTGCTGTACTCCTTCCCGCGTTTCGGTGGTGAAGGGAAATTCAAAAATGTGTATAGTATTGGAGTACAGCAGCAGTAGTGTTCCGGCCTTCAATTGACGTGTTGTCGCAGATTTTAAGCAGCACAATTTCGTGGTCGCATTCCTGCTTCAAATGCGCGTATTTTGACACATGTTACACCTCCATTGACCCCGGGGACGGTGAGTTAGTGGCCCCGGAATCCTGAAGACACTTCCCCGCGTTAAAGACACCCAAAAAAAAAAAAACGCGGCGTGTCTTTAAAGCGGGGTCGACTGTAGTACGGTCCGCCCTACACCAGAAGAAGGACTGTGCAATAGCATGGCGCCCTAATTTGAATTTTCGCCGCTCCGTGCCTCGAAACTACACCCCCACTCTTGGTTTTTTTCCAATTGTCCCATAACTTGGTCCGCACCGGAATCCCAAATTGGAATTTCGGCGCCGGGATTTGTTTTTTCCGATGGCGCGATTCCAAAATCGGAATCCTTCCATAAGAGTCGGCCTTATTAACAACTGGGTGCTACGCATGGAATGGGTGGTGGAGTATTGGCTCTCGATTGTGCCCGTCCCTTCCGAAAATGTGTCCGCCAGGTATCCGATTAAAATTCCCGACCGGAACGGCAAGGGGTACATTGCGAATCCGGAGTGCGAAGGGGGGGCTTAGCTGTTGTTCCGTGAATTGCCGAAGGTGGCCCTCTGGGCGGGTGTAGGAATTCACATCGTGTCGTGCAGATGTTCATCCAAGAGGGGGAAGGGTCAATGTAGGGGCTGCGTTTGCATTAGCATGCAAAGGGATGGTCCAGGTCGTTGTTCACAGTTGTGCAAGTGCAACCTTGCATGCCTTGAGGAACAAAGCACGTCACCCGGGGTGCAGCGAGGGTCCTGAGGTACTGCCCGACGATGATGATAGCGGCAGAGAGTCCGAGTCTGATGAAGATGAAGATCGCCGATCGTGGAACGTTTGGGTGGTTTCGACCAAGAAGGGCCATCGCCGTTTGGGGAGCACTCCGGTGTGTGTGGATTCTCCGCAGAGGATGCGCGAGAGTACGAGGAACAACTCGCCAACGAAGGGTTGGGCGGGGGTACGCAGCAGCAGGTGATGTTGTCGACCGATAATATGGCAGCGCCGGTTAACCCCTTAAGGGCTGGATCGCCTTTGAGGTCACTTTTTGTCCCCATCTTCACCTGCTTTACCTCGCGAAGAATGGCACGATTGTCTCCTCCTTTGAACTACTCGACCAGGGGGGGTGCCAGGGTACACGGGACGACTCTAGTTTAGTATGGATGCTTTGTAGAGTGGAGGAGTATGAGGGTAATGAGCAGGTCGAGTCGGGGGGCGATTACGCCGCGGGTTCAACAGCGAAGTTGCGCCGCGTCTGTCTACCCTTGAGTGGAAAGCGCTACTAAGGGCAAGCGCGGAAAAAGTACCTAGTCACCGTTGATAGGAGGCACCGGGCAACCTAGGGCTTGGGTTAGAAGGTCTCGCTTTCCCTCTGTAGAAATATCGTGAAAACCTCCTTTTCGTGCCCCGTTAACCACGCTCCCGCCAGTTGCTGTCAATAACCCCTATCAAATGTCCCCTCGATTCGATGGGACATTCGATAGGGATTATAGACAAGAGACGGCTCATTTGGGAAGGCAGCTTTGCACTTGCACCCAGGGATGGAACTGTCTGCACCATCCAATCAGCGGGCGTCGTTCGCTCTTTTTCTTACATTTTAGAAATTTCGCAAGAACGCCGAATTTTCTGTGCGTGTGAAGGGGGTTAAGGAGATGTCCGTTTGAAAAATTGATAATATTTCGTTGTATTCCTTGCTGCAAATATGTCAACAGGACGCAGATCCCGAAGCACTGCGAACAAATATTTGGGGCAGTTCTTCACATGACGCCACCCGGTACAACTGCTTTTGGTAGTACACACAAAACGAAAATAGGCACACACGCTCCGATGCCGCGGCCAGCGCGCCGTGCACCGCGAACTCAGAAAGGGAAGCTGCCGAAAAGGTCAACGAGAAACGCCGGCACACGAACGAGAGCGTCCTCGCCACCCAACAACGACAGACTCTGACCCCCATACACTCGAGTCGGGTACGTGTTGCCGGATAATCGCACAGTCGCAGCAGTGGTGCATTCCCCTCATTCCTATCGCACTCAAAAGGTGCTCGTGCGCATTACCGTTCAATGTCGGAACATCGGCTTGTGGGGGCTACCGCAAGGGGCGCGCCCTCTGACACCTAAGGTTAGCTGAAGAGTGACGTAATTGTAAGCGCAACACGAAAAAAAACATCCATGCGCGATTTCGTCCTCCCGGACTCTCAACAACCCTTCTAAGTAGGAAGGAATAAAAGCGTCGTGCTATCTCTACTACTAGAGCCACTACCAGGAGGGTTACCACACACCCCACAACTCGCCAACCCTTAGGTGGGCGGGTTGGTACCGGGCCCTGCTCATCATTCCGGGGGGCTCGCCTGAAGCCAACCTGCTCGGTCGGCACAGGGTTCGAGAAAAGACAGCGGGAATTTCAGCGCCACGCCTTCCGTCGCCACCGTCAACGCCGCCTTGACAAAGGCGAGCGCGCCCTTGTACGGGGGGCTCGTCACGACCCAGTCGGGTTGTTGTCCGTTGTCTGCTGCGAGGTAGTCGTCCGCAAATGACGCCGAGCTCGCGTCCAGGTTCGTGTCCGGAGACAACCTTAAAACAAAAAATAGGTAAGCGAACATGTGGGATGCAAAGGGCGTCAGAATATAAAATACTGCTGTCGCGTTGATGTTTTAGGAACAAGGTTTTGCTCTGGAAGGTTACAACAACACCAAAGACACCATACCAAAGAAAAAAAAAAAATGCCTCCGCCACTGTCGGTCACTTGCAGACTACGAAATTCCCGACATGCTTCGGCAAAAATCGGATACAGTCAAGCTTGAGTTGCTCCATATGCGTGTACCGAAAGCAACATTTGTGCCGTGCCTACATTCGGTTTGCGGCCTATTGAAACTATGGAGGATCCAAACAACTCGATTACACAGCCAAACTTCGACGATAAAAAAGGGCGGGATAAACAATGAGCGTCCGCTGGTGCGAGCCTACCTACGATGGGACCTACGTAAGAAGGCACGCAAAGCTTTGAGCAGATTGCACAACTAGGTCCGTCGTACGTAACTCAGCAGCATTGAAAAACAGATTGACAGTTACCCTCCTAGCCGGATGTACAATCTACATTCCTGTAGCTAGCATACTTGCGACGGACCACACCAAGAGGCAAACAGCGTTCATGATGCGCCTACGAGTTAATTACTTCGTGCTGGGAAGTTCAAGGACATGTTACGCTAGAACACCCAGCGCTATGGATGGCAGGACGGGTGGCTATCTAGTTCGGATACCTCACCCCAAGCACACAAAAAACGGGCAGCATCCCCTCACATCGGTCGTACATCGTTCGTGAGTACTTGGCATGTGTCTCGAAGGCGAGTCACCACAGCATCACCCGGCCCCCCGCACATATCCAGCACACACCCGCTGATACTAACAACACCCACCAAAGCCTCCAACGCCGCGGGCGAAGTACAGTAGCGATCAAAANATGGACGTGCCCTCTTGAAGTGTGGGTACTTGTGACGGGCCTGGGGTTGCGGAGAGGTCAGGGGCTCCCCATAGTGGATATTCATACCCATGTACGTATGTCGATACCAGTCGCGGACGCCCCACTGCAAACCAACTGCCACCGCCAGCAACAGCCTGGAGTGGATCACTGCAGCGGTGCGCAGGGCCAATGGAAGGGCCTGTGGCTGATGCAGTGCTAAAGCTTCTTCAATACTTCCACAACCCGGAGCTCGTCGGGTCTCTTCTTCTCCTATACGTCGTTGTGAGTGGCATAGAGATGTAGACTTATGTTCCGATGCTGAATATCCGCCGCTGCAACGTTTTCACTTGGCCTTACTGTAGTCTGCGAGAGAGCTGTGGGTCTGGCTCCATGACACATCATTGGACGTTGTCGGAAGCATGGGCTCACTGCGAACGAGATATTACCCTAGAGCACGATGCAGTAGTCCCCAACTATCCCTGTATGCATTTTATCGGGCACGTTTGAACGGTGTGTCGGCGAAGCACACCTGTTGCCCGCGGTATGTTCCCTGCATTGCACTACCATTGAGGTTGTTCTCAGCCATCCCCCTATTCTTAATACACACGCGTTGACGGTAGTTTTGTGCGACACGTGCCTTCGTTAACTCTTATTCTACTTGATGACTACAGAGCAGCAGTAGGTGACACAAGATAACACATACCCTGGCCCGATTTGTCGATTGTTCTGGACTACGGAGATACATACAGAAGTAGATTAATCGTACGTTTTCGGAAGCGCCCGACGCCTTGCACCACCGTTTTCAGCGCCTCCGTTCCTTATTCTGCTGAAAAATCGAGCCTCGACAATCGGCGCATGGGGCGTGATGTCGTATGCTACCTGCGACAGCTGTTTCCTACCAGCGTTTCCTCTTGTCCAGCCTTTCATCGGTCTCACTCCTCTGTCCCTCTCATTTGATGGTGGCCTGCCTTCCTCGCAACGATATCGCAGCATGTCGTGGGGTTCACAGTCAACATCCCGCACCTGTTCCTGAACGGGCTGAAGTTTATCGTTGCCCCCACGGAGGAGGCGGTACTTAGAATCAGGGTAAGAGGGACTATCGTTAGTTCGTTCGATGCAGGCTAAATATCGCCAGGTTTGACAAGGTGTGTCGAGATATTCCAACGAGCACCTACCGCTAGCTTTGTCCCGACGGTTGGCTAGATGCAGGCAAGAATGCCAGATCCGGAAGCACCTACCACTGTGTCCTGAGGTTTCCCACATGACCATACTGATGCGGATATCGTGGGCATGTCGTGTTGATCCGCTGTTGTGCGTTTTCGACACACACTTTGTTGTTGAAAAAACCTGGAAATGTCCTACCAGTCCGATGCGAAGGGACCGCGGCCCGAACCGCTCGGGCAGCTGGATAGGGAGGGGAAGGACGCCAATGCGTACGACAAGATGGATGCCCTTGGTCTCGCAAGGATGGAGGTGAGCATGGATAAGGGCGGGGGGTGTTCGATAGGAAAGCATGTTACCCCGTCTTGTGTGGCGTTCCGAGGGGATTTGGCGACGGTAATCAGTTTTTTCCTTATGGACATGTGCTCTCTCTCTCTCCCTCCCTCACCTGAACTTCCTCCCCAAGTTACGCGAGCAAGCTTCAATGTCAGTCGGCGCGCGCTATCATGCATCCAAGGCAGTCCGAGCATGCCCTCCAGCATCCAAGGGCCCTTTTCGGGCTTCTGGTGTAGTATATTTGCGGGTTCGTGTTCCGTGACGTCTGTCTCATGGCGCTCGTCTCGCTTCCTTAACCGTTAAATATGGTAGCCTGTTCTTTGCCTCGGGGGAGCCAGGGACACTTTCGCGTGATTGCGGTACGACGGACATGCACGATGGGCATGCCTCCGTTCAGTGCGCGGACAATCTTGGGCATGTCCGATTTTCGGTCTGTGATTTGTATGTTTGTTTTTGCTTGTCAAACGAACAAGAAACGAGTTCATCTTTATGGGCGGATCGAGGTCCAGGAATTTTGCAATTCGTTCATAGCGGTGAGGTTCGAATGATCCATTTCTCCGGAGCGTGCTCATGAGAGCACAACAGTATCATCAAGGGGTGATGCACGAGGATTCTAAAAGCAGACAGCAGGACCAACCCACGGTTGGCTGCCAGCTGCAGTGTGGCGTTTCCCAAGCTCAACAGCTCACAAAGGCGACGTGCTTTCGGCTCGGACAGCCCATCGAGCCTCCACGAACCAACAAAACAAGCTACAAACCTGTATTCAGTCTCAAGGCCTTCCAATCGTGCCTTGTACCATTGCTGCTCACTTGATGTGCTCACGATCGCCGGGTAGGTCTCGCGTGGGACGCTGGGGGGCTTGATGTACTTCCCACAATACGAGGGGATGGTACTGTGGTCCGTCATCGCTCTGGGCAACTTCGTCATCGCTCAAGGGAGCCGCTGCGCTATTCCCACGCAAGCGTAAGCGGCTTCGGTAGCATTGAACGACAATGATGCTGTGTGTCGCATGGACGTTTTGTGCATGGACGTTGTTGGGAAATCATCGCTTCAGCACCCACGGAGTCATTTTGCTCTGGGTGCTACCGGCTAAGCACGCGGTTGATGAGCTCATGCAACGTGCGGCGATATCAGTGCGATGAGATGCTCCGTGCAGGTCGCTCGGCGCGTAAAACCGAGCACGCCCCCTTTTGTGTGCTGCTGAACTGGTCTCCTGCCCAATAAATCACGTTACCCCTCGCCCCCAGCCTGCCGCCTCCTCCATCTGACCTATGACAGATTCGTTTCTTCTACAGAACGCGCCACCACTTATGAACTTGGCATTTGAGGACTTGATCCTGCGAATTTCCAAAAAACTAAGAAGTTGGTCATTGGAACAGGTGCTCCGTCAAGAAGGCTGCACTAAAACCTATATGGTCGCCATGGCGGTGTCCCCCGTAGACAACTGAGCAACGAGGCTCGGCCAAAATAAGAAATCCTCAAGTGATGGCGCGTTCTGTACCGCAAACCTGGTTTAGTCTTTGCCTGCGGCGTTCTTCGACGTCCTTCGGTGTTCTTTTACGCACCCCTTTGGAGCTCCTATGGCTCACCTAGACTCGTGTCTTCTTCTCCCACCGTAAACTCCGCTCACTCCTTCCTTCCCTTCGGCGTGCTTCGACATCCTCATTCTTCGGCATGAACCTTCGGGCCGGGGCAGGCCCCTGGGATGGGCTAGCCTGACGCTCTGCGGCGCGCTCCTCCGCTGCTGGTGGTGCAACGTCCGCCTCATCTACCTCCTCGGCCTCAACAATGACTACTCCAAGTTCGCCCTCCTCTCCGGATTCTGCGGCCTTTTCGCCGCCGCCGCCGTCGCCGCCATGCTACCACCCGCCTTCCTGGCATTTGACGTTCGTGCGGCCGCAGCCGCGCTGCACGCCTGGGGGGTAGCGGTGCGGGGGGGGCGTGATGCCGCGGGGCCCCCCGGTGGGGTGTCGGCCGTGGTTAGCCGGGAGGACTTCTTGGCGATGTTTCTGCCGACGGTGGCGGTAGTGTCGGCCTGCGTGACGGCGGCGGCGGCGCTGCCTGCCATTCGCTTCTCGCAGGTACGGTGTTTGTGTACCGTATAACCTCGGTTTAAGCCAAACCTTGTGTCTACACCCCGACACACGGAGTGTTGGGGACAGTTGTGACACTCCCGAGTGTTAGGGTGATGACTGGTGCACTCCTTTTCTACTGGTGCTTGGGGCCTTGAAGCTTACGTTTCCATCGACGGCAATGCTTTTCAGCATGGCCTAACCAGCTTCGGCGTCTTCCATCTATGTTGTATGCTAGGAGCAAACGGCATTACCTGCTTTCTTGTCTCCGGCTTCCTCCATCTCACTCCCTTGTGTGTTGTTGCACACGCTAGCCGCGTGGCCAGTACTAGTGGAGCCTACCGCGTGAGCGGATTCATACCCCATCGCACACCCCCACCCCTACGACCCACCATCTCAGACGGTCTTGTGTACCCTTCTAGTGAATCAAACGTGTGAAATTAATGCTCATACCCTACATTGCCGATGGCCAGCCGCAAACGAACCCCCCTACCTCCTTCTACCGTGCGCGCCCCCCCTCCCCCCCCCCCCCCCCCCCCCCCCCCCCCCCCCCCCCCCCCCCCCCCCCCCCCCCCCCCCCCCCCCCCCCCCCCCCCCCCCCCCCCCCCCCCCTCAGTACTTCTCCCGCGCTCTCGGAAGCGGCAGCGGAGCGACACTCGTTTACCGCGCGCTGCTCGTAGCCGATGGCGTTCTGCCGTGGCTGGCCTCCCTGGTGTGGATCACTGAGGTTCCGCTGCTTGTCCTCGGCGAACGTTGGCGGGGGGGTGATGCAGGCGGGGCATTGGCCTTGAGGGTGGGGGTTACCGGGCTAGCTGCTTGGGCCAGGCTCGCCGTGGGGAAGCTCCAGCTCCAGGCGTACCTTGAAGGGGTCAAGGAGTCCGTGCTGGTAGACCTCCGGGAAAAGAAGGTAGGGCTTGGTTGTGCGCGGTGCATTTCGGGGTTTAATGGATTTTTTGTTTTTTTGGTAGTAGTGATGAGTGGTGAAGACGAGACGGAGAGGAAGAACGGCACTCGGCGGGAGATGTCCCGGCGACGTGGCCGGTGCGGCGGTGTGGTGTATGTGCCTGTGTGGCTCTTGGCTTGCGAACGTAGGCATGGCACGGGGGTCGGTGATCTCCATGTTGTTGTTGTTGTTGTTGTTTCTCACATTAGCTCTGTAGTCCACAAAAAATGGGGAGCCCGTGGTCTCAAAACCCGGCACATACGACGCCGCGGGGAAACAAGACAAAAATAGGGTACAAACCACTCGGAAAAAGAAAACAAAATGATCGAAAGAAAAGAACAGGTATCGCACCGACCGTTCGAGAAAAGAGCCCTCGGCAACCGATCAAAATAAAACAAAAACAAAAATTAAGGAGGACGCTTCCCACACCCGCCCAAAGAAAAAATCAAAGGGTGACGTACCAGCACCAGGCACTACGCAACAGGGCATGGGAGTAACGGAGCAAACAGGACAAAGAGGCGGCAGATGGGCCGACAGCCAGACCTACAAAAACAAACAAAAGCGAGATCAAGGTACCCAACACAGCAGAGTAGGCAGGGAGGACATGAAAAAAAGAAACACAGCACATAGGCCGAAGGCAATACAATGGACATACATAAAGGAGTATAGCATACAGCAGGGAGGGAAACAGGGCGCAACAACATCAGCCGGGTACATAGTTCGCCACAAGTGCTGCCTCGGCCGCCCTACTCGCTTCTACAGCAGTGCCCGGTCGCCGTTTCTTCCCCCCCACCGCCGCTTCCCCGACTCTCTTTCTCTTCGGTCCTGAGGTGGCCGTACTCTCTGCTTCTGCTTCCCTCGCGCGCTGGCGCGTCGCGGACGCTTCCGCCTTCTGCCTGTGCCATATTACTCATGAACCATGCCGCCCCGTCCTCGACCTTGTTGTACCACACCTCCGGGTCCTTGGCGCTCTCTTTCCATTTCCCCCCTTCCTTTTCGCCTCCCATGTTGAAGGCCACGAGGTCCTCTCCTAGACGAGACACCCAGTCGCTCTCCTGCCCGCCCCGGTATCCCACGCCCCCCGCCATCGC